AAAACTTGCAAAATGTCGAGACTTGGCAGAGTCCAAAATCATGGGGTGATATGAAGAGGTACAAATCATCCCTGTTTTCCTGTCTGCTAGAGGAGTTGTACTGGTGATGTTTCTGTGAGTCTATAGTGGATGAACTTACATTCTCTTATTCAACTAGAAAAAATAATTATTTTATCTGCCTTTCTAATAGTCTGTAGAAAATTAAAATAACAGTATAGCAACTGGTTTCTAATGGGATTATTTCTATCTGAACTCCAAAAAAAAAAAGACAAGAAGATTGAGATGGTGATGATGGGAATGGGGATGATGATGGTGATAATGATGATACTAATAGCTGACATTTATGACATTTTAAGTTTTGCAAAGTGTTACAGATAATCACAACCCTCCAATGTAGGTAATGTAATTATCAGTATTTCACAGATAAGGAAACCAGAGTTCAAAGAAAACAAGTGACTTGCCAAATGTCACATAGCTACTCTCTAAGGGAATAAGGGTAGGAGTGGGATTTGAACCCAGGACTTACTGACTCCAAGTCCTGCTCTGTATACACTCTGCCTCCTTCAATATGTCAAGCAATCATCCCTCCTCTTTTACACATCTTCCTCCCCATTTTCCTTAGCCTGACATTCAAGTCCATCTTTACACTGGCACTATCTATTAAACTCCCACCCACTTGGAAGGAGATAGGACATGGGTTTCATAGGAGTTCATAATAGAGGTTCAAAGCCAGAAAGTTTAGCCCAGTGCTGGGGTGAATACTCTACAAAGGTTCCCTTTGGGTTATTAGTGAGATGCTGATTTGTCTCCAATAGTTTTTCCACCCAAGATAACATTCTGACTTTCCCTTATGCCTGTAATGCTGTCCTTTCTAAACTCCATCTTTTGTAACACCTGGTTCATAGGTACTGTCTACACTTCAAAATCACTCCCCTTTTCTCCATTTCTTACCATTTTTGTCATCCTTTAAGGCCCATCTTAAATGTTATCTTCTTCCTGATTCCATTTATCAGTAATTATCCTTCTCCCTTACATTTCATCCAGCATTTTACTATCACCTCTCCTATACGCTTTTACGTTATACGTGTGTGTGTGTGTGTGTGTGTGTGTGTGTGTGTGTGTGTGAAATCTCTTTACAAGATTATGAGCTCCATGAGGACAAGGACCATCCTTTATTTAATATCTGTATCCTTTCTGAAATTTAAAGCCCTATACAATCTGGGTCCAGCCTACCTTTCCAGGTACTTATTTCTCTTTCTTGGTTTCTGCCTACCTTTCAAGGCTCAGAACCCATTATTTCCTTCCTTTCATGTGCTCTACTGTTCAGGTAAACTGGCCTGCTCACTGTTCCTCCCACATGACATTCTATCTCCTGTAGTCTTACATTTGCCCTAACTGTCCCCATGCAAGGAATAAATAAATGCCTCATCTTTGCCTTTGATATTCCTCTTTTCCTTCAAGGTTCAACTCAGCTGTCACCTCCTATGCAAGGCCTTTCCTGATTCCTCCAGGAATCTGTGCATGTGTCATTTCTCTTAATCAAATACTTGAATTGACTTCTTGATTGAATGTAAGCTCCTTGAGGGCAATTGATATTTAATTTTTGTCTCTGTATCCCCAGCACCTAGCACAGTATCTGGCACACAGAAGGTTATTGATTAATCAGCTCTATCTCCTTCAGTACCTAGCAAAATACTTTACAATAAGTGTTTAATAAATGTTGGTTTACATTGAAGGGTTTTACTATAATATTTTATTTTATTCTGAATGTCTTTTGGTCTTTTCGATTTGGGGTCAGGGTTTCCTGAGAGCATCAACAAGTTAACCAAATTGTATGGCTTGTCTCTTAATTGATCCTTCCCAAGTCAGGATACTCATCTGATATGCATATACATAAGCATGTACATACATCTCCTATTAAAAAAGAGGTGAGCAGTCTCATTGTACAACTTCAGCGCCATCTCCACCAGCACAAATGTGACAGCTGCCTCAGTTGTGACTTTGCTTCTCAGAGAAGAGTTTGATAATTTTGAGACCAGAAAGGGAATATACAGTTGCTTCAACTTAATGCTTACTTTGATTTGACTGTGAAAATAATTAAATAGCACAAGTGTTTATTTTGGGCCAGCTAGGCAGCAGATTATATAGGCCCATTTTTGAATCCTGCCTAAGACACCAGCTGTGTGATCCTGGGCAAGGCACTTAACTATTCTCAACCTGTTTCCTCATCTGTAAAATGGGGATAATAATAGCACTTACTTCACAGGGGTCTCTCAAGAATCAAATAAGTTAACATACATAAAGCCGTGTGTAAACTTTAAAGCATTATGCAAATGTTAGCTATCATCATTATAATTATTTTTTTTCAGAATAGCAGTAACTGAATCATTCTGCAAGGACCAAAATCTAGATCTAGCTTCATAGAACCTCAGAGAACCTCTATTCCAGGCTCCTCATTATACCAGTAAGAAAACTGAGGCTTAGAGAACATATGACAATTTTTTTAAGTGTTTTCAAATACATTATTTGCTGGTTCAGGTAGGTGGCACAGTGGATAGAGGGCCAGGCCTAGAGTCAGTACAACTCCTCTTCGTGAGTTCAAAACTGGCCTTAGATACTTCCTGGCTATGTAACCCTGGGCAAAACTGTGTTTGCCTCAGTTTACTCATCTGTAAAATGAACTGGAGAAGGAAATAGCAAACCATTCCAGTATCTTTGCCAAGAAAACCCCAAAATGCGGTCACAAAGACTCAGACACAGCTGAAAAACAACAAATAATAACTTTACATATGATTTTTTTTTATTTCTCCATTTGTTTCTGCCTCCTTCCCTTCCCTTACTATGAAAGTGACAATACTGTAGCTAAATTGTGAAAGTTTCTCTTTCTCAGATCCCTGAGATGGCAGTCTAGGAGTTGGAACAGGTTTCAGATGGTCATATTACGCCATCTTGTGGCAATGCCATGCAGTAATTCCCATGTGCTTGCCTATGTGTGACTGGTCTCAGACTTTTATTTAATGTTTGCCTTTGCTGCATCTCTAACATGCTCATTTTTCTTTCAATCCCAGAGGACTGCAAGGATTTTGGGTAAATTGAGAGCACAATTTCAAAGTAAACACTATCTCATTAAAAATCTAAAACCAAGTCAAATAAATTTACGATGTCTGCATCTGGCTGTGTATTCTTCCAAAGTGATCTGGCCTGTGCATCTGGCTCTGTAATTCCTGCCAGCTAAAAACTATCCAAACAGAGAATTACCTAAAAGTGAGAGGCTGCAATTCTTATACTGAAATGAACATCTGATATGTTCCCTGGTTTTCTTGAAGATCTGCCTTTCTTTCCAAACATGGTTTTGCATTTTAACTAAGAACATTTTTACAAGAGTGTTCCCAGATGACCTTTTTAATCTGGTTTAATATGTCAAAGGAATGGAATAATGTGGCATTATTCAATATTAAAATAAGACTGTACAATGTGTTTTCACTGCTTGGTAGACACTAATCTGAAAGTTCCCCTTGGGCAGCCTGCATTTACATACTTCAATCTTACTCTGTGCCTTACAGGGAGTTTATTTATGATCTATGTATCATTACTGGAAATGATATTTTATGTTGTATTTAAGTAAGAACAACCAGTGTGAATTTTATGCTGAAATGTTATTGTTTTGTAGAAACAAAACTTACTCGATTTTTAATACCCTTTAAATATCTTAGAAATGTTGATGTTTCAGGGGTCTAATTGTGATTTTAAACTGTTAGTAAACCTGCTGTACATGTATATGTATGTGTATGCATGTGCATGTAAGATTCTGTGCCTGTACTTATAAGGAGTATCAGTATTGGTAACAGTATTGAAAGGATCACAGTCTGTCCTGGGGACTAATTTCCTCTGCTACTGGATTCAGGTCTGATTTTGTCTGATTCTAGGCAACCAAAAACAAAGGGTTTTCCAAATCTTTTCCAAGCTATTGAATAAGAGATCATTGACTCTGATTTTAAGTTACTGTAGCATGGGAGTTCTTATTCTTTTTTGGGTCTTGGACCCCTTCGAGAGTCTGGGGTAACCTATGAACTCTTTCTCAGAATAAAGCTTTTAAATGAATAAAATAAAATACAGAGGTTTACAAAGGAAACCAGTTGTATTGAAATAAAGATATCAGAATGTTGGAGAAAAAAAATACCAAGTTCATCACCCCCAAGTTAAGAACTTTTGCTATAAAGCCTTATATAGTAGAAGTGGCAGGGATATGAGAACCTTTTCATATTCAGCATCCTGTACATTGTATCATGAAATTCACTCCTGACTCACACAGTGCCATAGTCATTTAATCCTAGCTGTGCCTGGCCTTGCTCTGCAGAGCCCCCTTCAGGTTATTAAGAAAGCAAAGCAGCATTACTAGCAGTGACTAGAACACCTTGTCCATCAAGGGAGAATGTGACCACAGAGAATGAGCCAACCCACTAAGGCTGCCAGATTCTTGTTCTGCTTTGAAAGTGGGTTAATGGTTACAGGACTTGGAAGAGGCAGACCAGGGCTCCAAAGCAAACCAGAGGGGACATAAACATTGTGACTTCCCCCATGCCAATGGTGCTAGTAGCAACAGGATCTTGAAACCTTAAATAAGAAATATAAGTGGGCCTTCTAATCAATCTCAGCGGGATGTGGTTTATCCCACCAAACAAAATATAATAAATGGTATTTATATGGGAATTGTACTCTTTCAACAGTAAGTGTTCAAACTGAGAATGGCCTTTAGAGAACTTCTGTTAATCTAACTGCTACTTCATGTCTCCATGATGAAAAAGAAAAATATAACACCTGACTCACAGTGCTACCTGTGAATATGTTCTTTTATCTATCTTCCAGGTGCCTGCTACTTTTAAAATTGTACCTTCCAGGCTGAGGGTTGAATTGATTCCCTACTAAAATAAATGCTGCTGGGATGTTGTTTTATTTTATTTTACTAGTCTTTGGCTCAGTACCCTTTTTTCTACTTTCAGGCTTGAATCTCCCACGAGGAGCCTAAGTATGGATGCACCAAGAGGGGTCCATATTAAAGCAAATTCTGGGAAGATTGAAGCTCTCTCTCAAATGGACATCAAATTACACAGTAGTGATGGGATGGTAAGCTAAATAAAGCAGCTTTCTATTATATATACACCACTTCCATTTAGGTTGCAGTCAAAGCAGAAACAACCTTCTTAAATTAGCACATTAACTTTGTGTGTTATTTCATAAGGGAAAATGACTAAAAATTACATAGAGTGTTGAAAATAGGCATGACAGAATAATCTTCTTAATGCAATAATCTGGTAACTATTCTTATTATATACTATATATTATATATTACTACTCTTCTTCATGAACTCAAAATTATAGCCAAAACATTTATTTCTTGTTCCTTAATTCTGTCTTGACCTTTCTCATCTCTTTGCCTTTGCACATACCATTCCACATCCATGAAAGGATTTCCTCCCACATCCCTATCTACTGAAATATTTCCCTTCCTTTAAAACTCAATTAGAGGGCCACCCTTTACATAAAACTTTCCCTGGTCTACCCAGCTATGTGATCACTTCTTCCATGAATCATTCATACCTATCCTATGAGCTTATTGTATAATAACTTGTATTATATTTTTCTGTGTATGTCTTCTGCTAGACTTCGAACTCCTTAAAAACAGAAGCAGAGTTTTATCTATCTTTCTACCCAGGGCGTCTAGCATAGTTCACTGCATATAATAGGCCCTTAATGAAAGTTTGCAGAATTAAATAGACAGCGTAACATCTTAAGAAGTGCAAAGATAAATAATGCACTGTCTTTGAATAATGCTGTTTCTTCAGCTGCTATTAATGCTACCTGTTCATTTTGTTAAAAAAAAAAACAGTAGATGTGTTGATCTCATAATGATCAGTAGACAAATGGAATCATTGTATAGGGTCCAAGAGCTGGAAAGGACCCCACAGGCCATGGAGTCAGATCCACACCTGAAAAAGAGGACCTGCTACAATAACAACAGTCATCCAGCCACTACTTAAAGAATTCCAATCCACTCCCTTTTTAGATGGCCCATTCCTCTTTTGGACAATTCTCATCACAAGGAAGTCCCTCTTTACATCAAGTCTACAGTGTCCTTTTTGCAATTTCAATCAGTTGATCAAAGGAAATAGTTCCCACTCCTGAAGAGCTTACATTCTAGCAGGGGAGACTAAATGTACATTTGCAATATACAAAATAAGCATCAGGGAATTTGGGGAGGAGAGAAGCACCAACAGCTAGGAGGGAGAGAACAGAAAAGAATGGTCTTATATAGGAGATGGTGTTTAAGCTGAGCACTGACAGACACTAGGAATTCTGTGAATTGTGCATTCTTGGAGTGGTGCACAGCTTGTATGAAGGCACGGGGCTGAAAATGTAATGTTGTGTGCAAATAACAGCAATAAGACCAGTTCACAAAAGAGAATAACATAGGGCTGGAGATATAGGTTGGAACCAGGTTGTGAGGGGCATAAAAAAGTCAAATTGCAGGGTTTTATGTAACTCTAAAATCCATGGGTTTGTGGAGCAGGAGAATGACATGGTTAGACCAGTGCTTTAAGAAGATCAACTTTGACAGCTGTCTGGAGAAAGGATTGGAGAGGGGAGAGGCTTGAGGCAGGGAGACCAACTAGAAGGCTATAGCAGCAGTCCAGGTAAGAGTTGATGAAGGCCTGAATACAAGTGGAAAGGAGGGGGTGTATACTATGGATAGTAAGGAGATAGAATAAACAAGACTTTCAAACTAATATAACATGTAGGACAAGTGGAAGGAGAAGTTGATTATAACTTTGAACCCAAGTGACTATGGTGATGGCCTCAGCAGATATAGAGATGTTGGGAAGAGGGTCAATTTAGGGAGAAAGACAATGAACTCTGTTTTTCAGTTTATGTTGAGTGTGAGATGCTTACAGGATATCTAGTTGAAAATGTTTGTTATACAGTTAGTAATGCAGAATTGGGACTCAGAAGAGGGACTAGAGCTGGATATATTAGACCTGTCTTTCTAGGAGTCATCCATGCAAGGAGTCAAACCACTGCTTATAGTTTTGCCTTATGGGGCCAAACTGAACAAGGCTAATCCCTCTTCCATATGATAGCCCTTTAAATACTTAAGGACACCTCCCATATCTCCTCAAATTAACCTCTTCTCTAAGCTAAACATCCCCAATTCTTTCCATTATTCTCTGCAGGCATGTTCTCCATCCCTGCAACTACCTCAGCAGCATTTTTGGACATACTGCATAGTGTCTATGTCTTTTCCTTCATACAATATCCTAGATGACATATCAGGGTAGAATATAGTAAAATTGTTTATTCCTTCATTCTGACCACTTACAACTCTCAGTACAGCCAAAGATAACATTAGTTAGTTTCAATCAATCAACTGATCAGCAAGTATAAATGAAGTACATCCCATATACCAGATGCTGTGCTGGTATTAAATATACAAAGACCAAAATGAAAGAGTCCCAGCCCGCAGGGAGTTTTACACTCTCCTCTTTGGATGCTGGGTCAAACTGTTGACTCATTCTGACCTTGATGGACACTAAAACAGCCAGATCTTTTGCAGAGGAAATGTTTTTAACCAAGTCCTACTCCCACCATCCTGTATTTATAAAGTTGACTTTTTGAACTCAAATATAGAACTTTACATTCATCCCTTTTAAATTTCACCTTATTTGAGTTGGCCTGTCTTTCTGGACCAACTTTCTTAATCTCTTGACCATAGGTCTGACCTTAATATCATCAGGAAAATTTAACAAAGTATGTCATTTGAATTTTCTGAATGACTGAGCCCTGAAAGTAGTCATTCATAGGCTGTTGTCAACGAATCAGTGTGTCTAACAGAGTGCCCAAGGAATCTGTTCCTTGGGCCTTGATGGTCAACATTTTTATCAATGACATGGATAAAGGGGAAAATGGCATGCATGCATAAATCCACACACATGTCCTGTCTCTAGATGTGTCTCTTAATGTATATGTGTGCATTTTTATTAAACCTATAGTTTCGGGGCAGCTAGGTGGTGCAGTGGATAGAGCACTGACCCTGAAGTCAGGAGGACCTGATTTCAAATCCAGCCTCAGACCAAACACTTGACACTTACTAGCTATGTGACCCTGGGCAAGTCATTTAACCCCAATTGCCAAAAAACAAAACAAAACAAAAAACAAAAAAAAACACTATAGTTTCTTTAGTATAGAATATATAGAGTATGCCCAGTGAAGAACTTCCTCAACCAGTGCAGATTGAATAAGAGTTTTAAAATGTTGCCTGGGCATTGTTCTGAATGTTAGTGACTTGCTCTGGATCACACAGCTAATATGTGTCAGATGTAAGACTTGAACCCAGGCCTTCCTCACTTTTGGGCCAACTTTCTATTCACTGTGACATGCTTCCTCTCTCTGCCATTAATCTGGGGGGTTTGTTGTTGTTCAGTCATTTTTCAATTGTGTCTGACTCTTCATGACCTCATGTAGGGTTTTCTTGGCAAAGACACTGGAATGGTTTGCCATTTCCTTCTGCAGCTCATTTTACAGATGAGAAAACTGAAGTTAACAGAGTTTAGTGATTTGCCCAGGATCACAAAGCTACTAAGTGTCTATGGCCAGATTTGAAGGCATTCCTGACTCCAGGCATGGCAATCTATGCACTGCACCATATAGCTGCCCACAATCTATACGTAAAATTAGGCAAATTACTTAACCTTTCAGAATCTCCATAAACTCTTCTATCAAATGTCAATCCAACCTACCATCAAATGGAATGATGGTTATGAAAGCATTTTGCGAAGTAAATCATTATACAAACTCAAGATATTAAATATGGGAAGAAATAGCCAATCAGAGAAAGAATGGACTGGAACCATTAAGCTTGTTGTTACAATGAACTCAATAACATGCTCTTTTATTCTGGGATATAGAGAAACAGACCTACTCTAAATATACACAGAAGATCCTCCTGATCCGCCCAAACATCCTTCATGGGATGGATGATTATCCTCACAGTATTCTGGAGAACAGTGATTTATTTTGTAGCCATATCTTAAGCACCAATGGTGTGTAAAACCCTCTGTGCTGGGTACCGGTGGAGATAAAAAAGTTTTCATGTTGCACATTTCTATAGCACTTTGACATCTAATAAGTAATTTCCTCACAACTCCCTGAGATAGATAATGCAATTATCATCATCTCCACTTTATAGATAAGATAACGAAAATCTAAAAAGGTTTAGAAGCCTGGCAAGTAATAAGAATCTGGAATCACACACAAGTTCAGCACTATTTCCACCACACCAGCATCATTCCCCTCATGGAGATTATAGTCTGGCAAGTTTACAGATGGCAAGAAAATAAAAAACACAACAATCAGAAAATTCACTTAACTTCTGTCTGCTGCAGTTTCCTCATCTGTAGAATGGTGTTAATAGCATCTACCTCCCAGGATTGTTGTGAAGAAAAAATGAGCTATTTGTAAAACACTTTGCAAACCTTGAAACACTATATAAATTCTAGCAATCATCATCATCATTTTGAGCATTTACCCTGCCTCAGTAAGATCTTATGAATTTCTTTCTAGTTCCATCATCCTATATGATAATAATAATGTAACAGTTTACATTTGTGGCATAAAGTTTACAAAGCACTTTCCTCACAACCACTCTTTGACAGAGTTGGTACAAGTATTATTTTTCCTACTTTGACAAATAGGAAAACAGAGGCTGTGACATCAGGGAAATAGTAGAGTAATCCTTGAGTCTAGGTTTCCTGAATCCCAATCCAATGCTTCTCCACTTTGCCAGCAGAAAAAAAAAATTAAAAGTAAAACTAGAAATCTCTATATTATACTTAGAAAAAATGCAATTCAAAGATTAGGTTGAGAAAATTACATTTTCCTTATTCTCATCATGGTTGTTGGTAAAAAAGCATTCATCAGGCACCTATGTGTGCTAGAAGGGTGTAATTACTAATCGAAGCCTTGAATGTGCTTCCTACTTACATGTGACCCTAATTAGAAGAAATACAAGCTAATGAGTCCTAATGATACCAATGTGCCTGAGAAGTATATTTTTAAATGTGTTTCACTTTAAAAATATTTTTATTCCACTCAAAGGATTTCTTTGTACTTATATAATGGTACCAACTAGACACTGAATTCTGTTGTTCCTGGGAAAGTTTTCTGAACTGAGAAAGTTTTCTGAATTGAAAGCCTGGTTCTCGGAGCCCTGCTTAGATCAGTGTGTTTGGATATAGTGTGGGCATTGAGAGCTGCTTTCTACATCAGCAGTATCAAACTCAAATAGAACTGGAAGCTACTAAACCATACATAAGGATCCCTGTGGGCTGTGTATTGAGTTAGAAAACCACATATTAAAATTATCTGTTTTTATTATATTTTTTCATTAATTTTGTGAAGTATTTCCCAATTACATTTAAATCTGCTTCAGCCACCCTTGGAAGTGTTGTCTACCACATGCGGCCCAAAGGCATTGTGTCAAACACCTCTGTGCCATGTAACTACTCCAAATATACACTTTCTTCCCTACTCAAGGAGCCCAGCAAGCAGAGACAGAGCCCTCTGCTGTAGCAACTCTGCTTTTCCCAGTGCTTTTTATCTCCTACAAACCAAAAGAAGCATGGACACAAGCAGACCTTCCTTAGTCTTTGTAATGCTAACATCATTAGATGTTTTCAGAGGGAGCTGGATGGATAATTCTCAAAACTGGCTGAGCTCAGTGGGCAAGGGAAAGTTTTAGCCAACAGAAGGGGGAAGGGGGAGGGAGAAGGAGGGGGGGAGGGAGGAGCTTTAATTCCCTCCTGGATACAAAAGGGACAGAAGATAGAGCTGAGTATTTATTTGACTAGATTTGAGTCAAGTACCTACTACTATTTTGGGGGGGAAGTGCTGCCAACCATAATTTGTATTATATTGATTGAATATTATATTCTTTGTATTATATTCCCAGAGTGTCTGGCACATAATAGGACCTTAATAGATGTTTAAAAATTTACCAGCAATTGCAGTCTCCTTCTCTTAAACATTCGTTCATTTTACTATGACTGTGTTTGTTTCATTATTACTCTAACTTTCACATCTGTTGCTTTCCTCCATACAGCTTGTGTTGGATGCTGCCACCGTGTGTCTGCCTAAATTGGTTCAGGGGACTCGGGGCCTCCCTGGCAGCTCTCAGAGACTCTATGAAATCTGTGTGTGCCCAGATGGAAAGCTCTACCTGTCAGTGGCTGGAGTAGGCTCCACTTGCCAAGAAAACAGTAGTGTCTGTCAAAAAAGCACCTGAACATGCCATCTAATTGTCAAGATCTCAGTGAGCTTGACGATTCTCAGTAAATAATTGCTCTGGATTATGAGGCTTCAGAGCTGGAATATGTATTCTGCATCTGGGACTGGATGAAGGAAACACACACACACGAACTTTTTTAACTGAACTCAGAAAAAAACTACCAGTGAAAATGTTTGGATGAAACTCTGTGTTCTGGAGGTGGCATCAAGACTTGAGTGATGCATTTAAGGAAAATGAACAGAATTTGTTTGCAACACTGAGGTGTTTAAATTTCCATCAGAATGAAGACTGAATTGTGATGATTTCCTTGTCCTCCCCCCATACATGTAAATATACAATGAAATGTTACATCACTGTGTGGAATTCATTTCTAATGATCTATACTATACATATATCTAATCCAGCATTTCCCATTCTGCATTTTGCTAAATCTAGTGTTCCACAAGATATTTTCATGAGAAAATATCTACGGTCGGGGTAAGAAATAGAACAAAGTGGGGTGGGGGAAGAGGAAAGGGGATGGACTGAGGCAGGGAGCAAGAGGAGAAAGGGAGAAGTCACTGGAGCACCAAACCAAAGCTAATAGGGGACTCACACTGCTCAAGAAAAAACATTCAAATTTCATCATCCTGACAGGAAATTTGTGTCTCTCCTTCTCCCTCTCTCCCCATTTAGTCCTAATCTCGTCCCTCTCCCTCGTCTTCATCCCTTCCCCTACTCTCCTTTCCTCTCCTTCCTCTCTCTCTCTCTCTTTCTCTCTCTCTCTCTCTCTCACACACACACACACACATACACACGTGCACACATATACATGCACACACATACACACAGATTCTGACATACATGTAATCTCTATCCTCTCCATTCATACCCTTAGGATACACACACATACATACATGTATATACATATGTATACATGTATACATACATACATGTACTCCAGTCTATTCCCTATCACACACAGTATTTCTCCCACAGACATACTGTGTATTTGACATGGTCCATCCCTTCATATCCTTCATCTTTCCTTCACATTTTGGTGGCTTTTATTTTGTTCCAAACTTTCTCCAACTTCTAATCCTCCTCAAGATGTAACTCCCCTCACTAGACCAGCATTTTAAATTCTGTCATTATAGTCTAAGAAGCTATAGTGTTTTGGGGAATTTGGGTTTAACTAACAAAAGAAAAAATGTTTGGGGCAACTACAAATAGGATTAGAAAATGTCCTATGTACTTGTTTTCTTAAAGTCAATTAAGTCTCTAAGTGTTCTGTCTCTGAATCCTATCCAAAAAAAGTGGATCAGACTTCACTAGGAATCCTATTTTCTGGAGATTTTTTAACATATTCTGATATAATTTATTTGATGTACATGAGCAAAGTAGATTATTTACACAAAATCTCTAAGTATCAAGTATGTTGTCTTCTGTGCATACAGTAGACACATTTAATTATATCAAGAAGGCTTTCTGACTTTGGGGTCATAATTCTCAGAGCCTCTCAGAGCCCAGTGATGGGAAAGCAGGTATGAGATATGTTTTTAGGCACAATCCCAGCAGAGCTGTTGTATTGTACTGTGCCTTCCACATTACACACTGAAACTATGAAAACTAATTTGTGTTGGTTAAAAACCAATTGAAATGTTTTATAATAGGCCTCCAAAAAGGCTATTTACATGTGCTTTTTAAAGAGACATTTTCTTCCCTCAAGCTTTAAAAAAAATGTTCCTTATTATTATTCATAACACCCAAACAAATCAAGATTGTACAATTCCCTATATCTAGGCCAATGGCATTAACATCTTCAAAAATATTCCTGTCTCTCATTATATTCAATCAGTCAACATGGATAAGCCCAGGTTTGTTATTTTTAAAAAGCATCAGTGAAAGTAGAAAAATATGAGAGTTCCATGCTTTTTTTGTTGCATTTTTAAATTGGGAGTTCATTTGATAATCTAGCACACTTGAACCACTGCCCTGACTCAGGAATTTTCTAGTTCATAGAAATAATATTCTGATGTTTCATGACATGGAAGTGACCTAGGTCATCAAAGGCTGTTGTTGTTGTTTATCCTTCATTTTCAAAGAGGACCATTGGCATCACAGGGTAATGTCTTGATTTGCTCAAGAATTGGATTTGAGTGAGGCAGAATTGTACAAAGGCATCAGCCTCACTTTCTTTTCCAGAGTCATTAAAGTCCAGTGGTAGAACAAAAGCCAAAACTATTGGGCAGTGCAGAGGATGCAATAGATGACCTTGGCATCTTTGATATCTACCAGGCTCTAAGTGCTCCACAGCACCTGTGGAAAGGTTCCATTATTATTTATCATATAGTAACATTTAGAACTAGAGTGAACCATAGAGGTCATCTAATCCTGACAGCGTTTTAGACAGGGAACCTGAGGTTCAGAGAGGTTAAGTGTTAAAGCCATGGTCACACAGGTCAGCAAGAAGTAGCAGATCTAGAATTTAAACTAGGCTGCTAATCCCAGATTCAGTGTTCCTTCCTTTACAGAAATAAACTATGCATCAGCTTTTCAAAAAACCAACTTAAACTGAGACTAACCACCAAAAGGTCAAACAAGTGAATTATTTTTGAATACTAGTTCATGAAGACAGCCAATTATGGAGTAGAGGAATCTGTGATCTGCCTTGACAGAAGGACTATCCAATAAAAGAAATAACAAATTTATTAAAATTCTTAAGTATAATAGAAACATTAATATTTTGAAATACAGAAAGTATTCAGTGCCTCCAAAGCAAGGCAAAACTAAGAAGGCTGTTCGAGGTGACAATGCTTTAGTAAGCCATGTTTAACTTCCTGCCTGACCCCTTAGGTTTCTATGGGACTGAGTATACTGAGTACTTGGATTTCTTTGGGAAAAGTCCCTGAGTCCATAAAGTAATACTGGCCTTGAGAAAATGAGTAGCCAAGTTAGCTGAGTTAACTAAATTTGATGGGGTTTTTTTGGGGGGGAGAAGGGTAATGATAACATAGTCAATAAGCATTTATTTAGCACCTACTATATGCTAAACACTGTGTTAAGCACCTGGAGGGGAAAAAGGAAGACAAGATACATACAGAGTAGATGAAAATAATCTCAGAGGAGAAGGCACTAGCAGTAGGTGTGGGGTTGGAAAAAAGACTTCTGCAGAAAATGGGATTTGAACTGAATCTTGAAGGAAGTCAGGAAAACAATGCCAGGAGAAAGAACATTTCAGGCATGGGGGACAGCCAAGGCATGGAGACAGAATGTCTTTATAGAACCAAGATAACTGGACTGTGGAATATATGAAGGAGAGTAGAGTATACTTGACTAGAAAGGAAAGGAGGAACCAACTTATGAAGAGATGAGGTAGGGAAACAAATTAGAAAGTTATTGTCATAGGCAAGGCAGGAAGCGATAAGAACCAGATCAAGGGTGAATAGCTGTGTGAGTAGAGAGAAAGAGGAATATACTAGAGATGTTTTGAAAGTAGAAATGACAAAATTTGGCAACAGATTGAATAAATGGAGTAAGAATTATGAGTAGAGGATGACATTGAACTTAATAGCACAGTTCACTAGGAGAATGGTGATACCCTTGATCATAATAAGGGAGATGGGAAAAGGTTTATGGGTAATGTTAGAAGTGTCTATAGGACATCAAGTTTAAGATATCCAAAAGGCAATTGGTGATTCAGAACTGTAGATCAGGGCAGAACTATGTAAAGATATAAAGATCTAAAGATCTATGGATCATTTGTCAAATCAGATTTTAAACTAAAATATGATAATTTTAACATCTCTTAATGCTGAAACACTGATAAAAATACCTGTAGATTCCTAGTTGACATATGTAGATTGTGGGCAGCTAGGTGGTGCAATGGATAGAGCACCAGCCCTGGAGTCAGGGGACCTGAGTTCAAATTTGACCCTTAGACACATAACACTCACTAGAGTGTGACTCTGGGCAAGCCACTTAATCCCAATTGATTCACCAAAAAATAAATGTTTGGGCAGCTAGGTGGTGCAGTGGATAGAGCACTGGCCCTGGATTCAGGAGGACCTGAGTTCAAATCCGGCCTCAGACACATAATACTTACTAGCTGTGTGACCCTGGGCAAGTCACTTAACCCCATTGCCTAGCCAAAAAAAAAAAAAAAATATATATATATATATATATATATATATATATATATATATATGTAGATTGCCCACACTTTATCAACTTATGTTCTGGTGGTCCATATCCAAAACTTGGTGGCTGGGGAAAGAAGTGGGAATAAGTGCAGAGAGAGAACATGATAGTGGAGAATAAAATTCAGTATCAGAGAGTATCAGTCTTTTACAGTAAAAGAATTCAAATTGTATTTGTGCCTCTCTTTCACACTCTACACTCTCAAACCACATTTTCATGATCCTGTTTGTCATTTGCATGTTAGAAAGGATTTATTTCATTAGTCATTTGGTCAAACTCATTCCTGAAAGAGTCTGCAATACAAGCGGTCATCTGGCTCTCCTTAAAGACCTCCAGTAATTGAAAACTATTACTTCCTGAGGCAGCTCATTTCATTTTTCAACAGGTTTCATTCTTCAAAAAAAACCATCCTCCTATCATGTTGAAATTTAGTCCCATGGAACTCACTGATCTTAGTCCAAACCTCTGGAGACAAACAGAATAAATATAATTCCTCTTCCACATAACACTTTAAATCTTAAATCACCTGAAGACAGAGTTCTTATCCTCTCTAAGTCTTCACTTCTCCAGACATAATAATCTTAGTTCTTTCACAAATCCTTATTGTATGGCAAGGATTCAAGACCCTTGATACTAGTAGCCCTCCTCTGAACATGGTTAAGCTTTTTAATGCCCTTCTAACACTGTGGTATCTAGAATCAAACATATTCAAGATGCAGTCTGACTACAGTGGAACATAGCAGGATTCTCTTCATAGACATTTAAGTCTCTACTAATTAACTTTGCTTTCTTGGTTGTTACATCACACCATTGATTCTTACTAAGTTCTCAGACCACTAAGTCCCCCAGCCCATTTTTATACAAACCTTAATTATCTTCCCCAACTTATACTTGGACATAGTGGATTTTTTAAAAACCTAAGTGAAAAAGTTTATATTTATCTCTACTAGATTTAATTTGCTCATCATTATAATCTATCAAAGACTTTTTATCTTCCTTCTAAATCACACAAAGTATTAGCCATTCTCCTCATTGTGCAGAGCTAGCATAGGTTAGAGATGGGGATGGCAAACCCATTTTGGATTTTAGAGTCAAATCCAGCCCACACAGTTTGATTTTATACAGACCATGAGCTAAGAATGGTTTTTACATTTTTAAAAGGTCAAAAA